GGAAGAGCCAGATGCTGATGGAGGAGGTCAATCAATGCTTGGTCTTCTAAGCTATTGGGACGCTGCGTATTCGGATGAGCTTACTAATTTCAGAGAGCATGGTCATGCTGGTGAAGTTTGGTAAACTTTCAGATCTCACTATTTGATCATGGAACTTGAGAGAGAAGATCATAGCTAGTGGAAGTTGATTAACTTGTTTGATTTATTTTTGTTGGTGATTTTAGGTTTGGAGATGATGTTATGGAGATTGTTACTTCTTGGACTAAAGACTTATGCATTGAGATTTCTCAGAAAAACATGTCTGTTTCTGACAACGATGTTACCACAGAGGTGAATGATCAGGCTGATAAGTATTTGTCTAGTTGGAATGTGCTTGATCTTGGTACTGGAAATGGCTTACTCCTTCATCAACTTGCTAAGGAAGGGTGAGTTTCTAAACATTTTCTCATGGTCTGGCCTTAAATGGTTAACTATGTTCAATCGAAGAAACTCTATGGGTACTATGCCATTTTTATTTTACATTAGATCGATTACCCCTAGGTGAGTCTGAGAAGTTTAGAATCATGTGGCATTTATAATAAACAAGCTATCATAATGTCTTCTTGTATTGCTTTGTCTGCTTCGGTGCTTCCTAGATCTTCTATTGACTTTCTTCTATATAGCGGATCCATTGTGGCTGTATATCATTAGCTTTTTTGGAATATGAGTCTCTACGGCCACATGAAACTATTACGACTATAGATTCTGAAGCTGTTTCACATGTAAAGCAACCATTGTTTGTCTCGATAAAGAAAAATTTCATAGAAGATAGTATAGAAATTCGGAAGTCAGCCTCTCTCAGAGGCTTAAGTTTCCCTATGCAGTGAAACAAAAATGTTGCTATATCTGTATAGTCTATACCTAAGGCATTTAACCCTCGAGCTTTTTTTTTGGTAATGTTATGGAAGCCCAAACTATCCTGAATGTGATATTATGGTTAAGCTTTATCGTTGATAAGTTATAGTTAAACAGAATATTTACACACCGGCCATCAGAATCTTATGTTTAGACTCTACTTTTGTTTGACATTATTATCTCACATCCTTGCACTTTTCTGGCTCAGGTTCACTGATTTAACCGGGACTGATTATAGTGAAGGTGCGGTAGAACTCGCTCAACATCTTTCCCAACGTGATGGCTTTCCTAATATCCGTTTCATGGTATGACTTTGTTTAGCTTTAATATAGAAAAGAATTACAGAACCCACGACAAGGAGTCTTCCTTCATAAAAGTCGAAATTCTATAATTAGCACAGTAATGCAGTATTTTTTTGTGTATATCTCTTCTTTCTTGAAACTGGTAACTGACCTTGATCAAGCAATGGGATATGTATGTTTGCAATTAACATATAGTAGCACAGGACACAAAAAACTTCTTTATGAACGAGTTGTGCTTACTTTAATGAGCATCACGAGAGATAAAAAAGTTTTGGGAAAAATAGATCTAAGGTGCTCTACGTTGTGGAACTAACGGCTTGCTCTCTTAGGTTGATGATATCCTTGACACAAAATTGGAACAGCAGTTCAAGCTGGTAATGGACAAAGGAACTTTAGATGCTATTGGTTTGCATCCTGATGGCCCTGTCAAAAGGTACCTCCTTAGATTGCTATCCTTTATAGTAAATTCCCGCATTTTCTTTCTGTTACCAAGCACATATTTAGGTTTGGATACCAATGACACTCCCATTTGTCTGTTTCAGAGTCATGTACTGGGATTCAGTGTCCAAGCTGGTTGCTCCTGGTGGAATATTGGTAAGAGCATCTCGACTCCTGAATAAGATTTAGTTAAAAGCGGCTAAAGCACATAAGTTTAAGCTGTTAGAAAGAAACTAAAGGCTATTTAAAGCTGAGGATAGGTGCGGATGCATCTTAATATAATTTGATATGCGCATTTTAGACTCTTGTTTCCCGTTCTGCTTGCCATAGAACACATTAAACAACTGCATCGATGTCTTATCTCAATTCTTTCTGCTTCTATCAAAGGTCATCACATCGTGTAACCACACAAAGGACGAACTGGTGGAAGAAGTAGAGAATTTCAACATCAGAAAATCCAACTTATGTAGAGGAGATGAATACGACGCTAACAATGCGCTTTCTTCGGGCTCTGAAGCTGCAAACAAAATTGATCAACCTCCGTTTGAGTATCTCAGCCACGTTAGGACATACCCGACGTTCATGTTTGGTGGGTCTGTAGGATCGCGTGTGGCAACGGTTGCTTTTCTGCGGAAGTGAGAACAAACCTGTTGATGGATTTGTTTAACATAATGCTTAGACCTTTTCTCATCTTTTATATGTTGGTGCCAAGCAAGACTGTTAATGTGCTTTTGGGAGCTCTTAATAACCTCTAAATTTCTTTTCAGAGAAAACTGACTTGGTCATTTATCAGTGTTTTTTGATGTTCAAGGAACCTAAAATCAAAGAAATTAATTCGAAAACTAAGGCCTTGAATGGTTGTGGTTTTTAAACTAGTTTTTGGTTTTTTCCCAATATCTATTTTGTAGCCATTCAAAATTTTGAAAATCAAAAACTAAAATGTCTATGTTTGCTTTTTTTTTTTTTTTTTTTTTTCCTGCAAACTGAATTGAATAATTAACCTGAATCGTTACAAAGCATGTTTCTGAGCCACAAAGGCTGATTCACCGAGTCAGAATAAAACTCTGTATTATTACAAGCAAAGGAGGTGAGACTATGTGCTATGCTATTACAGTGACGTCTTACAAAGGTGAATAAAACTGAAGAAAATCTTGATGACCAAAGATCGATATCAAGTAAAAGGTTTGCTATCTCACTATGTGGTGATAGTCCTGTGATTGCCTTGATAAGGATCTCGCAATCTCCTTCAAATTGAATCTTCGTGTACCCTCTAATCCAAGCTTGCTGCATAGCCACTAATAATGCCTTCGTTTCTGCTTCCAATGGAGAAGAAATATGCGCTAGTTTTGATGACCCCCATGCTTTAGCTTCTCCTTGATGATCTCGAATTATCCACCCTGCAGTACCCCGAGAAGAATTAATATCAACACCTGCATCAAAGTTACATTTAACGTAGGAAACGGGTGGTTTTGTCCAAGTGGTTTTCTGATTTTGAGGCTTCCTTGTTTCCGAAGGTAGTGTAGATCGTGATCCCAACCATTCTTCCACTTCGGCTTGTGCTTGTAAAACGATTCGTGTTGGGCTTTCTCTGAAGTTATTAAAGATCAATTTATTTCTAGCCTTCCAAAGTTTCCACATAAGCCAAAATGGAAGCAGTTTTTGAGTGTCAGGGAGATTTTGATTGCCATAAGACTCAACTATATGAGCTATATTTTCCTCTGAGTCATCTGAGAATTGATGTCCATTCAATACTGGAGAGTTAGAAAGGCGCCATGTTATATGTGCAAAATTGCAATTAAACAAGACATGGCTGATCGTCTCTACTTCAGATGGGCAACGCGGACAATGTGGATCAATTTTCATTCCTCTTGAAGTTAGTCTAGAACGAGTAGGTATAGCCCGTGATGTTATCCTCCATAGCATGTGCTTGATTTTCGGAATGATTGGAAGTTTCCAAATTTTATTTTTCAAGTCCACTGAACCGTGTGGAATGGCTGGTTTGGTTTGTGTATCCATAGGATCATGTGTAAGAAGCCAGTAACCCGAACGAACAGTATAGGCGCCAGAGGTAGTATAATGCCAGATTAGCCTATCAGGAGGCTCATTTCGTGAAAGATGTATGTTATAAATGGAGCTATGATCATTAGGATCATTGTTTTGGTATTACTTATGAGATTTTTATTTTATTTCTATGTAAACATTGGTTTTATTTACCAAACCTATGTTTATATGCAATATACCTATGTTTATTTTTTCCTGCATCTTTTTAATTTTTTTTATTATTCAAATTTTTATTTTCAATATTTTAGTAATTTTTAAACACCAATTAAAATATAAACTAAAAATTAAAATATATAACTTAAAAACGTTTAAAAATTAATATTATGTAGAAAAACTAAAAACTAAACAAATTACCATTCAAGATTTTGCAAAAACTAAAATCTACACCTAAAATCAAAAACCAAAAAAATCAAAAACCAAAAACCAAAATCCAAAAACTAGAATCTAAAAACCAACAAAAAAATACCAAACATTCAGGGCCTAAAAACCAAAATCCAAAATCCAAAAACCATATTAAAAACTACAAACATATTCATGGCCTAAGATTAGATTGATTCTTTTTTTTTTTGTTCAACATATTAGATTGATTCTAGTTACTTTTATTTATAGGCCGAAACATTAGATTTCATAATCTTAAGGGGTGTTCAATCCCAAAATCGGTTAAATAGTTTGGTTTATCGAATTTTAGTTTTTGAGTAATAATATCTAAAATAAAATATAATCTAATATGAATGGTTTGATACGTTTTTCTTTCGATTCAAATTTTATCCAAATATGTTCTTAATGGTTTTTTTCAAAGTTTTATATTAGTTTTTTTTTTGTACTTTGGTTTGAGATTGGTTATTTCGATTTGATTCAGATAAACTCGGATTAGTTTTTTTTCGGATCGAACACTCTTATATTTTCTTAATTATTAGATAACGAATTAAACAAGTTGAAGAATAAAATCCAAAATTATTCGAATTGGAACTTAGTACTTGAGTTCGATGTCTAAGATTGATACTTGTAAATCAATAAGAGAGTAGAAGAATCATACACGTTACATAAAAAAGGAAAAAAAAAAAATTGTACAATTTCATGGTCGTAAAACGACAGCGTTTTACACAGTTGCTTTGCTTCATCCTCTTTAGCAAAAAAATCTCAGAACTCAAAAAAAAAAACTTCCAAGACCAAAAAAAAAAAAACAATGGAGATGAGTTTGCGACTCGCTTCATCTTCAACCTCAAACCCAATTTGTCTATTAAATCCAGGAAAAAATCTTAATTTCCCAATCCGAAACCAGAGAATCCCTAAAACAGCGAAACCCTTTTGCGTTAGGTCTTCAATGAGCTCATCTAAACCCAGACAAACCTTATCTAGTAACTGGGATGTGTCTAGCTTCTCCGTTGATTCCGTTACTCAATCTCCTTCACGGCTTCCAAGTTTTGAAGAACTCGATACCACAAACATGTTGCTTCGTCAAAGAATCGTCTTTTTGGGTTCTCAGGTATCAAATTTCTCACCTTTTTTGTAATCCTTGTTATAGTGGAATTGGTTCTGTGTAGATAATCAAATTGGTGATATCACTATAAAATTGAATTTGTTGAGAGATTGATTTTATAAAAACATGAGCTTTTTCTTTCAAGTTGTGCTTTGTATCAGAGTTCTTGATTCTTAAAGCAAAATAGATTGTTTTGTGTTGATTAGAATGGTTGGTTAATGGAGCATTTGATGTAGATTAAGCTGTTTCTATTGTTTGATGAGAGTTAGAGAGAGTAGAGTTTCGGAGATTTTGTGTTACTTCGACTCAGCTTTCTTGAAGTTAATGTTTTGTGCTTATTGGAATGATTAATGGAGCATTTGATGTAGTTTAAGCTTGTTTCTAGTATTTTCCTTAACATGGAGATTTGATCAACTCGATAGATCAATTCGATATATTCTTGTTCTACCGTGAGTCTGTGACACAGCTTTCTTGAATTTGATATTCTTCAGGTGGATGATATGACAGCAGATTTGGTTATAAGTCAGCTTTTGTTACTAGATGCTGAGGACTCAGAGAGAGACATTACGTTGTTTATCAATTCGCCCGGTGGATCTATTACTGCTGGTATGTTCGTTGCCATCTCGACATGTTTAGTGTGGATATCGAGTTTTCAGTTTTTGTAATGGTTTGGCTTTTGTTTTTGTTCAGGGATGGGAATATATGATGCAATGAAACAATGTAAGGCGGATGTATCGACTGTTTGTTTAGGGCTAGCTGCATCTATGGGTGCGTTTCTCCTTGCTTCTGGTTCAAAAGGGAAACGGTATTGCATGCCTAACTCTAAAGTTATGATCCATCAGCCACTTGGTACCGCTGGAGGCAAAGTACGATACTTTGATTCTGTTTTATATGTCTTCTCTAATGGTTTTTACTCTTCTACTGAAAATGTGTTGGATAACACAATCCTTTGTATGTGTACTTTCAGGCAACGGAAATGAGTATACGCATAAGAGAAATGATGTACCACAAGATTAAACTAAACAAGATCTTCTCTAGAATCACCGGAAAGCCCGAATCAGAGGTAATTGCGTATCTTTTGGTAGTTTTCTTCGACTTGAGTCTTTTCCTTACACGTTTATGTTATCCTTCACAGATCGAAGGTGACACAGACCGTGATAATTTCTTGAATCCATGGGAAGCGAAAGAATATGGTTTGATCGATGCTGTAATCGATGATGGGAAACCAGGACTAATCGCTCCAATCGGAGATGGCACTCCTCCTCCGAAAACCAAAGTCTGGGATCTTTGGAAAGTTGAAGGAACCAAGAAAGACAACACTAACTTGCCATCCGAGCGCTCAATGACACAGAATGGTTATGCTGCCATTGAATAGAACTTGTGTTCCAGCGTTTACGCCTTTTATATGTAGCTACAACCATATATCGTTGCATTTCAAGTGTTTGTACCATTTCTGTGATAGATTTTTGGACTAATTTGAAGGCGAAAATAGATAATTTGTTGTAGCTACATCACAAATAAACTACAAAATCAAGCTATTTTTGCAAGCTACCAATTATGGTCAAGGTCGGCACTGAGCTAAAGTTGGTAAACCCCTTGCTTTAGGCGCCAAAAATTATATATAGTAGTAAAGGGCATCATTTTTACAAAATATTACGTAGTGCAGTGGTTAGCTCCTAGGTAGTTGTCCTTTTGGTGCAAGGTTCGAGTCCTAAATCTGTTGCTTTGTGACTTTATTAAATGTGTGGGCTTAAAAAATGCTTTGGGCAGCCAAATCTATTGGGCCGACCCTGATTATGGTTTTTGAACCTGGTTTGATTAATTTAATATCTATTAAATATTTCTATGTGAAAGAAATAATTTAAAGATAACACCAAAAAGTAACATTTGTTGATTTTTCTTTGTTACAATATGTAACTTGCATGTGAACTACTTTCATATACTTCTGTGATATGTTTTCATTTCACATTGTGAATTCTGTTTCATAACAAAGATATTATTTCATAAAAAAATATTGGAGATTCTATCGTAATTTTATTGGAAATTTATAAAAGTAAATTTGGATAATTTAAAAAATAGATAAAAATTATTAAATATTTAAAATTTCAAATTAATAAATTTACATAGAAAATGGTTTTCAGTTTGACATATGTCATAGTAATTTACTTTTCTCAATTATTATATACAGGACATAATTTTTTTTTAAAAAGAATTAAATTTGTAAATGAAGAATTGAGATTTGTTTTTTTTTACCAACTAAGGTTAAAAAAAAGTTATAAAACCCATTAGATCAGAAATCAGTGAAACAAAAAAGACACCCCAAAGATCATTTTCACTTGATATGGCGATACGTGGAGGAGACGACGGAGAAAGAGCCGGTGACGATCGTTCCCTCAAGAGAAAACGAATTCCTTCTCAAGTTGAAGAAAGCGAAGATGTTACTGCAACGAGAATGGCGACTATTGGTGGTAATGATTTCGAGGATGTGATCACAGAGGCACAATCGGGAACTCCAAAATCTTCTCAATCGTTGAAGCTACAGAGTTCAGATGTTCTTGATTGTCCTATTTGTTACGAGCCGCTCAAGAGACCAATCTATCAGGTTTCACTCCTTTGTTCTTTGATTCATAGTTTTTGTAGTGTTTTTTTTTTGTCGTCTATTACATCATCATTAGAGATATTTGATCTAGTCATATCACATTTGTGATGTTATTATCAAATTTGTGGATGCATGGCTTAATAGGATGATGGAATTGCAGAATAAGAACTTTAGAGCAACATTATCAATGGTCTCTTAAGGCAACTCTTAAGTTAAGAGATGTCTTATAACTAACAAAAGTATCTTAAAGTCTCTTAACTAAGAGACTTTTGTTAGTTATAAGACATATCTCTTAACTTAAGAGTTGTCTTAAGAGACCATCAATAAAGATGGTTGGTGTATGAATTTAGAGGTTTATAAGTTTTATTTGGCTACAAATTGTATTTTTGGGGTTGATGATTTTTGCAAACTCATGGTGTTTTGTTGCGTTTAGTGTAATAACGGGCATTTAGCTTGTTCATCGTGCTGCAAGAAAATGAACAAGAGATGCTCGTTCTGTCAATCGCCTATCGGGGATATACGATGCAGAGCAATGGAGAAGGTTATTGAATCGACTAAAGTTTCATGTCTATATGCGAAATACGGGTGTAAAGAAACCACCGTGTATGGAATTGAATCAACAAGCCATGAGAAGCTTTGTTTTTTCGCCCCATGTTCTTGCCCTGTACTATACTGCAACTATGTTGGCTCTTACACGGATCTCAAAAGCCATGCTCGTGCCATGCACTCTTGGGATCAGGATGATCTCATCATGTTTGTGTTTGATCGTCCTTTAATCTTTAGCATGGACCTTGGTAAGAAGAAGATGGTCGTTTTTCAGGAAAGGAAAGACGGTGATTTGATTGTTGTTCAGGCTTTCAAAGGACCCGAGGGCGTGTCAGTGACTGTGAGCTGTATTGCACCTATGGCTTCGGAAGTATGCAATCTCTCATGTAGTCTAGCCAAACTCAACCAGTACACTACACTAAGACTTGGATTAATGGTGAAGAAAATTCAGAAAGTGAGTGAGCAAATGGAATTTGAAGATGGTTTCATGTTCATTCCGTCTTATATGGTTAGTGGTGATCACTTGAAGATGCAGATTTGTATCGGCAGTGAGTATAAATATACTCACATCTAAGAATATGTGAAAAGTTCTCTTAAAATCTTTTTGCTACAATTATTTTTAAAGTTAGGTTGTTGGAGCATAAAAACCTTTCTCTAATGGTAAGCTTTTGGTTTCTCTTGTTTTCCTTAGCTGCTTCCGTTTTGTGAATCACATTGAGATCTATTTTGTTCATAGTAAAGATCTTGATGTTGGTTGTGTGTGTTATCTTGAAGTGTTTGGCTCGGTTTGGAAACATCTACTTTAAGGTCATGAATGCTTGCAAGTTTTTAAATGGTTTTTGGATTATAGTTTTTGGTTTATAGATTTTAGATTTTGGTTTATGATTTTGTATTAGAAAAAATGAAAAATGGAAAGAAAAAAGTCAAATCACGTTAAAAGTGAAAAACCCACAAAACCTAGATTTTAGATTTTCTTTGAAAATTGACAAAAATTATCAAAATCTAGATTCCCTATTTCTTAGGAAATCTTTTTTTCATAATCTTGATTGGCTATAAAGTGGATTTTTGTAAAAACTAAAATTAAGATTTCGCTTCCAATATTAACCGTATCGTAATCATCAAATAACCATAACCGTAATTAACCGCAACTATATATAGTGGTTAAGGTTACGGTTAAAGAAATTTATAACTATAATCGGTGGCCAATCAACCGTAACCGTAATAACCGTAATCGTCGTCATGTCTGGGGTCATACTCATTGGAACATAAACCAACTATAAATTGAAAACCGAAAATTTCGGTTTGGTTCGGTTTGGAACATCTACTCAGAAACCCAAAATTGAAAACAAAAGGTTATCTAAAAGTAGTATTTTACCAGCTAGGGTTGAAAAAACACCCCATTAGATCATCAGCAGTCCTAGTCAGTGAAAAACTCATCGGAGGAGATTTAGAGATGGCGATATCTGGAGAAGACGACGGACGTAGAGGAGCCTTCGACGATCGTCTCTCGAAGAGGCAACGACTTCCTCCTCTCGATGAATCTGAAGAGGAATTAGACGAAGACTTGTTCGAAGATTCAAGTACTTTAGACGGATACGAAGATGGAGAATTCGAAGAAGAAGAAGAAGAATTAGAAGAAGAAGAAGAAGAAGAAGAAGAAGAAGAAGAAGAAGAAGAAGATGTTACTGGAATGGCGACAATTGGTAACGATGTCGAAGATCTGGTAACGAATGAACAATCTGGAAGTCCTAAATCATCCCAATCGGTGAAGCTACAGAGCTCAGATGTTCTCGATTGTCCTACTTGTTGTGAGCCACTCAAGAGACCAATCTATCAGGTTTCTTCTTCTTCTTTGATTCACAATTTTGTTCATCATGTATCAAATTCGTGGATATGCATAGCTTATTAGGTTGATGGAATTGCAGAATAAGAACATTTAGGTCACATCTTCAATCTCTAATTGGTGTTTTAAGTTTCAATTAAGTGTATGACTCTCGAGTTTGGTTTGTTGTGTGTTCAGTGTAGTAATGGGCATCTATCTTGTTCGTCGTGCTGCAAAAAATTGAACAAGAGATGCTCGTTCTGTAGATGTAACATCGGGGATATACGATGCAGAGCAATGGAGAAGGTTATTGAATCATCTATAGTCCCTTGTCCAAATGCGAAATACGGGTGTAAAGAAACAACCACGTATTGTAATCAATCTAGCCATGAGAAGGTTTGTGTTTTCGCCCGTTGTTCTTGCCCTGTACCAAACTGCAATTACGTTGGGTCATACGCGAATCTCAAAAGACATGCTTGTAGTACTGCACACGCTTGGGATGAGGATGACTTCCTCATCCCGTTTGTGTTTGACTGTCCTACAATCTTTACCATGAACCTTGGTAGGAAGAAGATTGTTGTTTTTAAGGATGAGAAAGAGGGTGATTTGATTGTAGTTAAGGCTTTCAAGGGATCGGAAGGCGTGTATGTGACTGTAAACCGTATTGCACATATAGCTCCGGGAATACCGGAATTCTCATGTAGTTTGGCTAAACTCAACCAGTATAGCACAGTAAGGATTGGAACAATGGTGAAGAAAATTCAGAAAGTGAGAGAGCAAAGGCATCCTGAAGATGACGTGATGTGGATTCCGCCTAAAATGTTGAGCGGCGAGCACTGGAAGATGCAGATTTGCATTGGCTATGGGTATAAATATATTCACATTTGAGAAGATGTGAACTGTCCTCTCATCACTTTGCTCAATTTTTACAAGTTATTAGGTCGTTTGATCATAAGCCTTCTCTAACGTTGAGCTTTTGCTTCTTTTTCATGCACCACATTGAGATCTTGATGCTGGCATGTGTGTTCTTTTGTAGTGTTGATTGTTGGGAATTTGAATTTCAGATTATGTAAAAGTAAAACTCCTTAAACACTTTTCATCTGCCAATTGTTTTTTTTGGTGTACAATCGTAATGTTGAGTAAAAAAGTCAGAAGACCAATAGTAATGGGGTTTACTTATATCGTCCGGTTTTAGAACACATGACTTAAGTTACATATTGTATGTACTTACATTAATGAAACCTTTTGAAATGCTTCTTAAAATTGTAAAAATCAAAAGCTCGCTACATAAATCCATATACTCGATATCTAGAAATATTGTTGGCATTTCATTAAATTTATATATTTGAAAAATTGCTAAAGATATTTTACATTTTTACAAGAATTCCAAAAATTCAAAGTTAAATCAAGAAGTATACGAATTTTAAATCCTAAAATGATATATTCTAAAAATTACTTTTCAAATTTAGGAAAAATAATGCTCGTGACAACTTTATTGTGGTGGACTCCACCTTAGATTTATCCTCCTTTCACTAAAAATAACTTCAAATGTAAATCAATATATATTTGGGCGGAGTTTTATTCAAGGAATTCACTAGAAGAATAATTATTTTTTCCGGTTGTGATTAGTTAGAGGACATAAACGAGGTTTTTATTTGGGTGTAAGAATCACAACGATTAGAAATTGACATATCATCGGGTGTGAAATATTCCTATGTACTCAGACTGTACAAACAATTAACAATAGATTCACGATAACGATTAGCAAACACGATAAGTGGTAGCACACCACAATATGGAAACAAATCAATTATGTCAAACTTGGACTTGGTCTTGCGCATTACTCATTGAGTTATTTAGCAAAAGTTGTTAGTTGGTAAGTCCTCCATCTCTTGATCATATTGGTCCTCCACCTACTATATATTGGGTGTCCACCTTCCATTGATCCTCCATTTCCTTATGTTCATTCACCTTATGTGTCCATGTTAATTTTCCTTGCATTGCATTTTTAAAAAAATGTGTAGTTGAGAGACCATTGCGACGTCAAAATCTCCAAAGTCTTGTTTAACTGAGCTTTGGCCCACTATTTTCAAAAACCACCTATAAGAAAGAGAGCAGTGAAGTGCACTAATCAGTTGAGAGACCACTGGGACGTCAAAATCTCCAAGATCTTGTTTAACTCGGCTTTGGCCCGCTATCCACCTGCTCCTATTTTTTTTTATTTTAAAAGACATGCGGTTATAAGGTGAGGTTGCTGCGCTAAAACAAGATGTCACAAGAAAACTTGTGAAGTTCTAAAGACCAGTGCAACTCATCGTGTGGAAGAGGAGTATCTAGGGGTTTTTGGAATGAGATTTAATTAGTGGTAGTTCTTTTTTGTAATCTGTTATTTTGAATGCAAACATATTATTATTAGATATTGCATCAAAACACTTACTTTATTTATAAGTGTTCTATAAACTTCGTAAAATTTATTCTAAGTCAAAAGTTATTCAATTATCAGAGAAGTAAATATCGTGCAAAAATAAAAAAAAAATCTTTCATTTATTGTTGAAAGATTACCTCACTCTTGTATAAAATCTTAGCTATTACATGTTATTTTAAGAAAAAAGGATAACCTTAATGGTAAAAAATAAAGTTTATATTCTTAAATAGATTTCTTAATGGTAAAAACGTAAATAGATTTCTCAAAATATTTCACCCATTAGGTTCGAGCTATTTAAGGACTTTAAACTAATTTTATCTTAGGGAATGTTATTCAATCACGGAGTTAAAGTCAATTCTTTAAGGTTTAAATTTGCTTTTCTGATATTGTTTTTAAGAATCTGTTTGTGTGGATTTCAAAAATTATGTAGTATATCTTGGATTTTGATTCTAATAATTTACTCATGAAACTCCAAAGAAGTAGTTAATATACAAAGATTTTACAAGTCTTTTAGATTTGAATAACACTGAATTTTAATGAAGTATTTTAAATCTTATTTGAATAACACCTAACTTTAAAATCTACTAAACATGGTTTACAAATATAAGATCCAATACCACCAAATTTTAAAGCTAGATTTAGAGTCACTAGTTGAATAACTGGATTAGTGTTGGATTTCAATTCTATTAAAATCCATCATTGAATAACACCACCCTAATGTTGATTTGTTGAAGCATTCCAAGAGATTAAAACCTAATTCTTGCTTTGATTATGAAGATTTAATTTATTGATGTAGTGAAGATTTCTTTTTAATCTCTATCTTCTTTAGATTATTTAATCATGTATTTATTTATCCTTTTTGCTTTTGTTTTTATTTTGATCATGAGTAGTTTCATCTTTGGGTTATGGGTTTGGTAGATTAGGATAGAGTGATGATTGATTTGTGTTACTTAAGCGTAGAATCTTTCAGATTTCTTCATTTGAGATGAGTTTAATGCTAGTTTTGACTTATAAACAAAATTTACATCATGATCTCTTCCTGTCCACAAGGTATTTGTGAAAATGTCTAGATATTTCTCAAACAAGATTTTCTTCCTTAACCAAGTGATGTTAGGGTTAACCGAGATTAACCAAGGTGTTTTTCATTCATTCAAGCCCAAAGGAAGGGACAAAAGATACAAGTTCATCAACCACATGGTTGGAGACAATGAGAGAAAGGAAGCACAAGCTTACAAAGTAAATGGAATGATAGAGAGGGTATGCATCAAACTTGGATGACACTTCATAGAAACTCAGAAACAGAGGCTGCAAAGCAACATGCGACAAGCGAGTTCATGGTGTGTCAAAGACACTTCCTCGAAACTTTCGGGGAGGTTTAGTCACTTTCAAAAGAACTTGTGACATTGAGAATAAATCCTTAGCCTCAATGGTCGCCGGCACGAACCATGTCGAGTTACGAATCTTGGCTGGTTTCTCACCTTCAAAGAGGGAAACCATAGTTAGCTCGGTAATATATTAGATATGTTCGGTCAGTAGAAGTAGGTGTAGTTTAGTTTGTTTTGACCTGCCACTCACCATATATTAGGCGTTTAAAGATTCATCATCCACAGTAGAACTTGTCCATATAGATCTCCTAAAATGAAAATTAATTACAAAATTGTACTACAATACATATTATATGTGTAAAGCGGGTTTGAAGCAATTTATGTCGCGATCACAATGAGAACCCGAGAATTGATAAAGTGACATGTTCTTGAAGGTAATATATGAAAAATGTGTTCTTGTAGGAGTCGTTGACTGGTTCTTGAACCGCAAACCTCAAGAACACAATTATATACGGAATTGAGATCCGTTAAAAAAAAGAAAAATCCAAAAATTTAAACTTGTAGCGATATGAATTCTAAAGGAACCGAGATCAAATTTGGAAGATAAACACAGTGAGAAAACCGAATAATCCCTGAATCTATATGAATCTTCTTGAACATATCTCCCCTCAATATGTAGATGCAAGCCGCTCCAAGTTGACCGTCGCCACAACATATGATTAGGGTCTTGTCAAAGATGAAGTAACTAATGCCACAAATCTTATTAACTAACTTAGGCAAGTTAGTTCTTGGAAAAGTCATCAAGTTTATCCACACCACTTCCTCTCCATCAATATTCTTCTTCGTTACCCAAATATCAATCGTCCCTGTTACATAACATTGCTTTAACAACGAAAACCGATCTCCTTTATAAACCGCGAGGATAAGTCTATCCGAAGAACGGTTCTTCTGACACGGTAGGAGACAAAAGGGTTTGAATATTTCACTCGAGAAATCAAAGCTTCGGATGAAATGCTCACGAGTCTCGGGATTCTGAGTAAGCCAATAGAGATTCCCGTTCAAGGACAAAGGTACCATCATGGGCCACTGCTTGAAAGGGCCATCAATAAACTTCAATGCATGAGACAAACACTCGTAAATCGCAACCCTACGGTAACCTACCTCGTAAGTGTCACTGACTCTACGAAGACAATCAAAATACCCCAAGATCTTGTAACCCTTTTCGGGTATACTATTATCGTATCCTACACCGCAGAAATGAAAACCTTTATCCTCATACTCGAACCATCCAACCTGTTTCAACCACGGATTCCAAACCGCAACACCTTGCTTCCAAAAGTCACGAAACAAGAACTCATCGCAAGCCATGATGGTGGTATGCATCAAATCTATAGCATGACAAGGAAAATCAGCTGCTAGCTCACGTACCTCCATCGTTCCGCGAAGATCGATGTCTATAGAGTAAATCTTAGATTCGGTTATGAAAATAAACTGTGGACGGGCACGAACCAAGTGGTTGTTGAGGAACCACTTGTCGTTGAAAAGAGCGTTCCAACGTCTACATACGGTCTTGAACCGAATAAGAGATCGAGGTGGAAGCCGAGAGAGAATATCTTCTTCCAAATCACACGGTAGCTTCACTAGCAGCACCATTACATTTTCTGACTTAGCATTCGTGTCTGTGGCTCTAATAAATAAGAGATAAGAAAAACTATATGTTACCTGCTTTTTGTTGCCCGCAACTAATGTAAGCGTGACAGTTTTGTGATTTGGTCTTGATCCTGTCCAGGTACATTGTCAGTAGATGCATATGAATTTGGAATTATGGGAGACCCACTTTCAATAATTGTAAGGGTTATCATGTGGATGTAGGTCAGTCATGAAAATGAGTATTCAAAGCCATTTGGGAAAGAGTGATCACGTATATATTAACTCAATTATTTTTTAACCTTTGTTAATATTAAAACCAAAATTGAATTATTTTTTAACCTTTGTAACCTTATGTTCAATCTAGGTAAAAGTCACATAGACAACGTTTTTAATATCTACCACTAGACAGATTAAATACTACAATTATGAACATTTTTCATACTCACTAGCATATGTCTTTACTTATTGGATAGATTGTTACAAACAAGTTTCGTTTAATCTATGAATGAAGTGTCTTAGAAAAATGTTATTAACTCAATTATTATATATAGAAAAATAAATTTGGTACTACAATTAATTTATTATAGTTTTTCGACTATTTCAAATCGTAAAAATTTAAGAAACCAAGAAACTGGTTGACCCGGAAAAAAAAAACCAAGAGACTATAGCTAATAGGAACTGAGTGAGTTGAAAGAATTTTGGACCAACCTTGAGAAAGAAATAACATGTAGTTGTTTTGAAATAAGAACAAATAGTGGTATTTTTGAATAAAAACAAAACATAGTAGTGTTTTATAAATGCACAAATGGCTCCGGGAATACCCAACCTCTCATGTAGTCTGGCTGGCTATAACCAACCAGTATAGCACACTAAGTAGTCGATTGATGGTGAAAACAATTCAGATCAAGTGAGAGAGCAAAAACAGTATGGAGATGCCGCGTAATGTTGATTCCGTCTAATATGTTGTTGAGCAATGCACACTGGAAGATGCAAATTTGCATCGGCAAAACTCTAAATACTTCTTAGAAGTTAGGCCGTTGGATCATAAAACCTTGTTTAACTGTAAGCTTTTGGTTTTTTTTTTTACCTTTTAGCTGCTTCATTTTTATGACTAACATTGAGATCTATTACGCGCATTACATTATGTGAACTATTTTATCGTAAAGACAGTTTTCTGTTGCAGTAAATTTTCTTGTATATAAATAGTAGATTATAACTTTAGGACTTGGGAGTTATATGTTACAACTTATAACAAATGTGCTTAATATCCCATCTTATTTTATCCAAGTAGAACAAAGATAAAACAAAAATAAATAACCTTAAGCCATCATTTCTCTTAAATAGAGATCATATATTCAAGATCGAAGAAAATTAATAAGAATTTAAAACGGAATAATCCAAGTCATGCTGGAATTTATACTCGCATCGTCTCACATTTCCAAGCAACGTTCCCATCACATTTCCGGCCGCATCGGTTGTGAATTTCACCGGAATATCGGGACAATCCGCCATCAACAAACCATTTATATATCTAGCATCTGTTTTCACTGCATACATAATCTTGACCCGTAAATTCCAAATCATGTCGCCAATAAGTTTCGGCATCACCACTTTCTCAAAAACAAGATTTGTTTTGTCTCGGGGGACAAATTCTCCTAGATTTTCCCAAGATGAGGAGTTGGAGATAACTTGTTCGCCTCGGAGTAAACGAGAACTGAGTGTAAGTAGAGAGATTTTACAGCCGGTGACTGGACTCTTCGCGGCGAAACCGATCCTCCAATCGGCCGCGGAAATGTTTGCCTTTATGTCTACGTTTGTGACGGAGACAGAATTGGCAAAAAGCTCTATGTAACATTTTTCTTTGTTGTTGGAGAGATGTATTAAGATGAGCTTTAAAAAGATGAAGAAACCGGTAGTAGCAATGTACGAAAAGCAGCAATAAGCTGGAGTAATATTGAAGGGCTCGCTATCCATTATGGGAACAACATATATAGTTAAGATTGGTTCATATATATAGGTAGGGTTTTTGTCACTAAATAAATGAAAAGTTTCATTTTTATATTTAGCCTTTAATTCTTTCTGATATGAAATGTTTTGATTTGATCTATATTAATTATTAATTAGATGATATCCACACATAATTAATCCTATACTATTATTTGGGGAGTACACTTTATAAGATACCCTTAACTAACCTTCCCTTTTGTAAAAATTTACTTAAGAATGCCATTATAAAAATCTTCTTTTATAACAAATTTTATTCAATTTATTAAGGATAAACAAGTAAAATACTAATTTATGTCATTTAATTAATTTAATTAAATTATAAAACGAAAATCTGTTATTATTTTTTTTTTAAAATGACCAATCAAAATGAACATATAAGATTTGATATCTAACTTACCATATTAATTTGTTATTAATCATTAAACTTCACCTCTCATCTTAATATGATTATATTAATATGAAACAAATAAATCATCATATCATCTACATAATAAAAAAAAAGTAATTTTTTTTCTGCATATGCCAAGATTTGAATTTTTAAAAACGCATATAAATAGTTCAATCTATAAAGAAAACAATTAAACGGGTCAAAAATTCAGACTTGAGTAATATATTACACAAAAATAAAGTCAACAAAAATTTCGACTGAGCAACGGGTCAGAATTTGAATATTTATATTCGATTTCATACATTTATTTTTTTGAAATGTATAATTATATATACTACAATAAAAATTTAAATATTTTAATTTGCAACATTTAAAATAAGTTTTACTTTATATTTTTAGAGAATATCATCAATACTTAATAGTTCAAAAAGTTAAAAATTATAAATACTCTAATTTGATTATTTTTAAAGATATTTATAATAGGTAGCGGGTTAAATATAATATATTTTATGATAAAATGAGTTTTGGTCCTTATAACTATTTGAATAGTTATATTTAATTTCATATAATTTGTTTTTTGAAATTCATAATTTTATAAACTACAAAACAAATTTAAAGATTTTAATTTGGAATATTTAAAAATAGTGTTGAACATTTAAATATGGTTTGACACCTCTAAATATTTGAAAATTTGATTCCGCAAGCAATTTTAGAATTAACGAATAATAGATTGTGCACGCAATATTTTAAAATGAAATATTGAGATTCTAAAATAAAAATATAGACTCCACGCACGAGTTGATTTTGGTATTATTATATACTAAATATATGTTTATAACATATTCGATTATGCGAATAATTGGTAAATTCCGTAATTATAAATCTCAAACAAATTATGTAATTAGATTAGCTCAAACAAATCTCTATTTCAACAACCAAAGAATTATAAATTCAAAAAGAATTTTCTAAATTAATTCAAAATAATAGCTAATTTTCTTAATTAATTCAAAATAATCTATGTTTTATATGCGATTCATTTATGATATTTTAATTTTTGATCTAACTGAAATATATACAATCCTATTTTGTGGTTGTTAACATAAATTAACTCATTGTTCAAAAAATATTACTTTTTTAAAAATAAAATTATTTTCCGTTTTCATATCTTAAAAAAAAAATTATCCATAATTGAGTATTATAGAAAAAATTCTATATTTATTCTAATATTGTATATAGGGACTGACAAAAAAATTAATATTTTTTTACTTACTATTATAATATATATTATAACTTAGTTCTAATATATATATATATATTATATAAATTTTGTAATAAATAAAATTCAACCCGTACTTGAGTACGGGTGATGATCTAGTTTAAAAGCAAAACAGAAATTTTTGATTTTAAGGTTTAATTGTTAGTATAAATTAATTTTTTTACACTTGTTTAAAACTTTATAGATAGTTAGATACATGTTTATTATCACAAGCTAGATGTCTATCAGAACATTTTTTTATTATAATGTTAAAAATCTTTAATTTCTAAAAAGTTGTTGATACTATAAGTTTAAGATTTTTTGAAATACAATGTTATGTTTATCCAAAAAAATAGAATATGAAAATTTTAGTATAATTTTAGAATCATATTTTCAAAATTTTAAAATCATTTAATGTTAGTTAGATTTTAGTAATTAAAAAATAAACTTGTCACTTAAAAAAAAAGTTTAGAAGATGTTTCTAGAAAATATTTTGTTAACTAACTTTTAAAAATAGATTATGAGAAATTTTTTAAGTTTGGAAACTTGTTTAGAGTGAAATGTTTGTTTGCCAACATCAATTAGATAACTCTAAAGTCTAAACAGTGCTTGACACTTGTCAAAAATATTAATAAGTACAAACACTTTTACTACGTAACTTATTTTAATAAAACTAAATAAAGTTTCAAGATAATATCTTTTAGATCCTGTTTTAATCTAATATTATTAATTGAGGATTACTTTTCTAAACTTTAAAGAGTAGTTAGGAAATTGTTAAAAATTACATAAAATATCATTTATTTTGAGTCATTTCACAAAATTCATTAGGATACTTAAAAATAAATTTTTTTTTTGTTAAAGCTTAAAAATAAATTTGCAACTACCAATAGTTTGGTTACACATGGACAAGTCACCGTAGATGACATCGGAAATGGGGTCCCTAGAGTTCAAAAGGAAGCCTCCCCTAGTTGTTTCTTTTGCTCTTACCAACTGCGCTTGAAAGTTGTTTTAAACATATTATCAACTACGCCAACTATGGAAGCCATAACCACAAAAGGACTTGATACACAGTCTAAAAAGACATATGCTCAATGAAGGAGTAGGGACATCGAAGAGGAGAACAAACCAAGAGAAAAACATCCATCAATTCACACTTTTGACATTTAAACTCGGATTCCGACGAGGAAGAACAGGGAAACATCTTGTAATCGAGCCCGTGGCACATTTTGTCTCTCACGAACCCCTCTCGGTTGTTGCACAAGTGCAAGACGCTCATCCATGAACTTACCATACTTTGGCCCATATCGGCTAACCAGACTAGTTAGTCCTTTCGAAAGGATTCTTAGAGAAGGTTATGCCTTTCCCGGCATGTATCAAAATACTTTCAAAAGCAATATGACATAAAATTAAAGATGATATGCTTTCAAAATCTTACAATAATAGTATTTTTAATTGTGTTACAAGTAGTTTCTGTCATATATATATATATATATATATATATATATATATATGATTTTGAAAGATTTGATATTGTTTAATAAACAATAAATTAACATATTCGTAAATAGTATATTATCTATAAATATAAATTAATTACTCAGTTTTACAATAATTCTTTGGAACTTTTAAAGTCTTCAATTCTATGAAAGAAGAGTGACACTGAATCTTCTCAACGTTCTCATGGATTTGGGTTAGATTACGACACCTTATATCAATATGTCCAGCAATATCTCCGCGATAGCTATCATCCTTAGCCCTTAATTTGATATATAATTGTTCGTAAACGACATCGTTTGGATTATCCTCCACAACAAAATCAACTGAGAATACCGTTTGACTTGGAGAATAACTTTTGTGAGAAGTATTCAAAACGGCAGCGTTTAAGGAACCGAGCCTCACGGCAGTATCTCCTCCATAGTAGATAGAATAGCTGCAAGACCATAGACAAAAGAAACAATTTGCTTCAAGCATCAAATTAATATTATTATATATTACTCTTCATTTGGACCGGTCTAAAAATACCTGGAGCTAGGGTTTGTTACGAGAAAATCAACGTGCCACCTGGTGGTGGAGGGAGAGACCGCAATGGATTGGATGGTGAATTTGGCCTGATAGGGATCTTGGTTGATGAAGTACATGATTATTAAAGTGATTACGCTGAGGTACATGGGTGTTAACAAAGATGTACCTTCCCGGACAGTGGGTTTACGATCATTCGGAAAAGTAGCTATTGGTCGTGACCACCATCCACGACGAGGAGGAGTGGCTGAGGACGGTGGCATTGGATCTTTGATCATGGAGTAATAATCGTTGGTTTCTAAAACCATTTTTATGTTTAAGGTCATATGTTTTGAGAGGAAAGAAAGATTTTATAGAGAAGTATATGGTTGTTTACAAATTTACAATAATTTTGATTGATCTCAACTTTTTTTTTCCTTCTTTAAAATTAGCTATTTTGGGGTTATTATGTATTTACAAATACAATCAAGAATTGAATTATATGATAACAATTTCATTTTTCATATATTTAATTTCTTTAAGATAATCTCATCTAGGATTCAATCCCATATTGCATTTTTTATTTATTTTAATGCTTTGCTTCTTTTGGAAATCATATAGATTTCATTATATATATTTTTATAAAAGTGTTATAATAAGTCAAATAGCTAATGACACATGTGAAATATTTAAATTATATGCTTTCTAATTTAAAATTTTCACTTTTTTTGTTTTCTTTGTTACTTTTCAAATTTAAAATATGAATTTTTACAATTTGATAAAATCTAGCACAAACTAAATTATATTCTTTAAATCTTTTGAGAATCCTACTAATTATATTATTTGGGAAGCTTTTACCAATTCCAATACTTAAAATCTGAACTATGCATCCATTATAACACATCTCGTATTGAATTTTAATGTGTAATCCAATTTTAATGTGCTCAACACCATTTGGTATTTCGTTTAGTTCCTAACCTAAGTTAGGAAAATCAACTTATATACTCAAAGATCGTATTCGATTATAATTGATCTATTTTTTTTTAAAAGTAGTTGTTTATCATTTATGCATATGGATGATTTTGATGGTTACATAAGGATTTAGGATGATGCATTAGGAAGATCATATGTCGACTCTTAGGATAGAAGAAGCATAATGGATAATTTAATTTTTCCTATAACCTCCAAGATTGAGACCAGAATCCGTATAAGACCAAGACACAATGGGAATTATACATCCCAAAAGAGGCTTAATAAAACCAACTTTAAGTGCTAACTACTATCCCGCTGCTCGTTTTGTCTAACGGATGATTTTCCTTCTCTAGAAAACATATGAATTACTGCTTAGATTTGTATAATCTTGTACTATTTATTTCGATTTCAAATTTTAATCTTGAAATTAAATGCCACACTGAGTTGGTAATTTTGTTAAGTGTGAGTTCACAAGTTCCAACTAGATGAGTAGTTAAGATCATGTGCAGTGCAGAATTCTCACATAGGTTCTCACCAATAAAAAATTAAAAAGTAATAAAAAGTGGGAGAGAGAAACGAGAATCGATTCTCATCTGAAAACATTTGAGAACTCTTTGAGAGACTACTTTTACACTTGTCAGCATATAATTGGTTTTCAATTTTTTTATTATTTAAAATTAAAATAAATAACTAAATTAAATTATATGTATTAGAATAATATATTTGAGAGACTTTCAAAGTCTCTCTGCACTGCACATGCTCTAATGCATTGGTAAATTTCTTTTCTAGAGACTACTCGTTACAAATTTGGTAATATTCATTAGTAACTTTTGTGAGTTTGCATTTCAGTGTGATTGTTGCTCCTATTGCTATACTAAACTATGGAAAAAATGCCATGTCTGCACTTTGACCATTGGTAGCAACGAATGTCGAATAATGGAGAAAATTGCGGAAACTGGAAAGAGTCGCTGTCCTATGCCCAACATGGTTGCCCCAAGAAGTTCTGTAATAACAAAGAATTACTAGTCCATGAGAAGGAGTGTCGTTTTTCTCCGTGCTACTGTCATGCACCTAACTGCAACTACATGGGCGTGTACAAGGATCTCAATTGTCACTACTACGCTAATCACAAAGACACATGGAATCAATTCAGCTTTAGCAACTCCACGCGCGCAAGGCTAAGCATGAGTGAGAAAATTTTTGTCCTTCAAATAAATAAAGATGGTCCATTGGTTCTGGTCCAATATTTTAAGAAGCCACAAGGATTGTATGTGACTGTGAAATGTATAGCACCTTCTGCTCCAGGAGTTGGAGAGTTCTCCTATATATGATCTTTTCTGCTCGGCGGAAGGTAACACTTTGACGTTTGGATCGTGAAAGATGAATAGGATTCAGAAAGTGAGCTTCCAAACTCCGAAGAAGGACTTCATGTTAGTTCCTAACTACTTCATGAGTCAGTGCCCTACGTTGAAGATGGAAATTTGCATACGCAAGCTAATAAAAGATGAAGAAGAAGCTGATGAAGAAGATGTTGATGACGAAGAGTAATCAATAATCATCATATCATATCCATTGTTTTTCTGATGCCCTTGTAATACATTTCTGATGTTTTATTTTTCCTTTCTAAACGAATATTTTTCATGGCTCATTGTTTTACTTAATGCTAAACGAAAACATTTCATGATTTTTCTCCAACCATCACTATAGGACTATACTAGGCTGCATGTTTTATTTGGGAATGGTAATTCAATCATATCTTTATTCAATGTGAATTTTGTTTTCGTATTTATTGTGTAGTTAATTTAAAATATTTTGACGGATACAAAAAAAAGCGGAGTTATCCAATAATTCAAAACTCAAAATACTAAAAAAAAAAACACTCTCTCATGATTATAAAACTTGTATCAATCATAGACATGATTTGCTCAATCTTATATTCAACTCTATGTTGTTAATAAGAATCATCACATTCAACTTATATGGTATCAGAGCATCACGCTCCTAAAATCTAATATTTTCTCATTAGTCTTCATTTTTTTCTCTACCATATCGACCACACCAGACTACACTGTCAACATAGATGCCATCAATCTCAACACAAACAACATTCTTAATATTAACATGTCCAACATTTCAAAACTCACAAGCACCAACTCTTTGATGTGGAGTTTACAAGTCAATACTCTTCTTGACGGATATGGTCTTGCCGGCCATCTTGATGGATCAAGTGTGACTCCTCCGGCCACTTTCACTGTTTCACATGTTGTGTCTAAGAATCTCGAGACTTCCTCTGTTGGAAACGCCAATATAAGCTGATATATAGTGCCATCATCAGTGCAATATATTTCCACTCCTCTCCAACTGATGGTCTCCACTGCTCGCTTTTCAGATTTGGGAAAAAAATACTCTCACATAAGCTAAGCCGATTTAGTTAGTTCGCTTTGCTATTCGGTTCTCGAGTTTGGTGAGTAAGGGCATATTCGGAATATTATTTATGAATTGTCTCCAGCTCGCTCAATTCCAAATAGAAATAAATCTAATTTAGAATGAGATTTTGCTATATTTAATTGGTATAGACAAAATCAGGAAATACATAATTAATTTTACATTAAAAAGGAGAAACATAAGTAAATATAAAACTTTTCTTTTTATGAAAAGGAAACATATTAAAATAATAAAGAGACTAGATCTTCATATAAAAAATCTACCAGTAAATAAGTTAATGATAATAGCCTTAGAAATTTTTCATCCACAGAAAAATTGTGAAATCTAATCCAAACTTTAAAAAACGTTCAACGGGAAGTATAAGGAAAGTAGGGTTTAAGCATCTTTTTCTTCTATATCTCTATAAGTAGCGAAGTCTTAACACACGTCATCTCTTATCCTTCGATAGAGATGGTAAACGGCACGAACACTGAGCTATTCCTCTCTGGAGAAGCATCGAGCAGCCGCCCAACGAGGCAAAGAGTTCTCTCCATGGAGAATGATGGAGGAACGGCGAGTGGAAATGAAGTGGAACGATCAGTGACACTATTCGAGCTTGATCTTTTGGACTGTCCCATTTGCTGCAACAAACTTACGACTCCTATCTATCAGGTCTTTCTTCTTCCTTGTTTATAACTTTTTGTTCGGGAAAAACAATTAATTTCACTGACGAGTCCTATAGAAAGATGATTTTGTTGATATGAGACTTTAGATAACATCCAGTAGCTTGAAATTCATGTAGTGCAAATATTAAGTTTGTTTCATTTAGTGGAAAAGTCGGCTTTTACATACCCCAATATTTTGACTGTGTTGAATTCATACATTTAGGTTTCCCCTATGCTAATTTTGATAATTTTGAATTACAAACCCGAAGTCGACATTTTGTGCCAAATCGTGCAGTGATTCGTATAGGACACTTTTCCTTTTGGTCAAGAAAACATAATTTGATGATTTTTTTCGATTTCTCAAATTTAATCTTGATTGCCACATAGAGTTGATAAGGTGTTTTTCTTATTCTTTTTTTTTTTATTAGATAAGTTATTTTTTTTGTCAAAGACTTATTTGATAAGTTATACTAGACTAGTTGAAAATACATTTGCTACGTTTTTTTTTCTCTCTCTTTTGATGCCGTTAGTGATTTGCTTGATATCGATTATTTTGTCTGTAAAACTTTGATAATATTAACTACTAACTTTGTGGTTTTTAATCTCAGTGTGACAATGGACATATAGCATGTTCTTCTTGCTGTATTAAAGTGAAGCACAAATGCCCTTACTGCAGTTTGAGCATTGGTATCTACCGATCTAGAATAATGGAAAAAATTTTGGAAGCAGTCTTCATCAAATGCCCAAACGCCAAACATGGCTGCCCCGAGAAGATCCCATACAAAAAAGAATCAGAATCATCCCATGAGAGGGAATGCAGCTTCACTCTTTGCTACTGCCCTGAAACAAACTGCAACTACACCGGGGTGTATAAGGATCTCTACGGTCATTACCATGCTAACCACAAGACTGATTACACATTGTTCAAGTGTGGCCAGTACAATGACGCATGGGTACGCATCCATACAATGAAGATTTTTGACTTTGTAGTCCTTCAAGAATCTGAAGATGGTCCATTGGTTGTTATTCAATGTTTCAAGGAGTCAAATGGAGTGTGTGTGACTGTGAACTGTATAGCACCTTGTGCTCCAGGAGTTGGGGAATTCTCCTATCATCTCATCTACCGGAAGGGAAGTGACATTGTTAGTTTTGAATCCGAGGAGATGAATAAGATTCAAGAAGTGAGCTCCTACACTCCGTGGGATAAATACATGTTGATTCCTTACTGTTTACTAGACGAAGGCCCTATGTTGAAGATGAAAATTTGCATTCGCCGATTAGGAGAAGAAGTATAAGAAGATGATGGTGATGATGATGATGATGTGATGAAGAAGAGGAGTAATTATCATATCATAACTCTTGTAGTAGGTTATTTGGTTCATATATCAGTGGCCTAGTAATCTATTTCTGATGTTGTCGTTGTTTTAGTTGTTGTTGTTGTTGTAGCTGCTTTCATCTATGAACTCTAAACTCATATTTTAATGGCTTATCATTTTACTTAATGTTGTTTCTTTAAAGTTGTTTCTTTCTCTAACCATTGATTACACTTATACTTCTCTTAGATTTTAGTCCTCCACGATATTAGAGTTGCTCTCTTATTTTCTCAAGATGATAGAACTACCATGTATAGTCGGATTCTTTGGCTAAATTAGCCCTTCATTCCTTTGTTGACAATGTCCTTATAGGGTTTTGAAATAAATTAAGTTGCTGACCAACAAAATAGTTTTTTTTTTTTTTTTTTTGTAGTAAGAACACACAATTATTGTATTTTTGCAAACTATGCACAAATTAGTGGTATATATGTGAATTCCCGAAACATTTCCATATTATATAGTCTCTTGTTTTTGTTTTTTCGTCAACTAGTTTCTTGGTTTCTTAAAGTTTTGTGATTTGAAATTGTCAAAATAAATTATGAGAAAGAGAAACTAATTGTTGTACATAATTGATATTTCTATAAATTATGGAGTTGGTGGTAGGCTTTCTAACGACAGGGATTGGGGAGGCCCATCCGCTGTCCTTCCTGGTGCGTTTGTGCCATGGCTTTCTCGTAAAGGACTGGGTTGTCCGTATTTCACATGTGTATAGGAAAGCTAATCGCCTTGCGGATGGATTAGCTAACTATGCATTTTCGTTGCATTTGGGTTTTCATGCTTTAAATTTGGTTCCGGCGGAGGTTGCTCCAATTTTGCGGGAAGACGTTGATGGACCTTTTCATTCACGTTTAGTCCCTTTGTAGTTTCTTTTTGATTTCTGAATAATACTCCGGGAGATTTCTCCCGGTGACTCACCAAAAAAAAAAAAAAAATTGATATTTCTATAATGTTTGAATTGATAATATTTTGTCAGACACACTTGATTCAAAGATTATACGAAAATTGTTTGCAACGTCTATCCACTAAGTAATAAAAAGGCTAATGAGAAAAAATAAAAATAAAAATTGGCTCGTAAACATTGGCTTGAGGGTTGTATTTATATATAAGAACGAATTCAGTCTCAGATTTACCTGAAATGCCTTCAATTCACTCCATTCCGAGCTACTAAATATAATGGAAACTTCTACTTTGTCGAATTTAATTGGGTTAGAAGAATTATAAAGTAAATCATTAATTTTACAGAAAATTTAAAATCATTAATTAGAAAATAGATATTTATGGAACTATAAGAATTATAAACCAAACTCTTGCCTATGGTATCAAAATTTCTATTAGTTTTAGGAGTTTATAACTTCCTCTCGCCAATAGGAAAATTTTCTATAAATTTGATACGATAGGCGAGAGTTTCTTTTCCCATCGAATAGGCACAACCTGATTATTGAGACCATATATTTACAAAGACGATTTTTCGAACAATTATTATCTAATCCAGTTTGTTAATTCTTACATTTGTTCAAATTGAGACCGGCAAAATTAATTATTTATAAAAGTTTTACTATATTTATGTATATCTGTGGTTGAACATTGTATAATATTTCCAATAAATTTATTTTGTCAATTATCTATCAATGATGAAAAGTGTTATGTTTGGATATTTCCTTATTTTAGAACCGAACCAAAACAAGAAATTTACACAGGAAATTAAGCAGAAATTGGAAATACAATAAGAGGGAATTTGCGACAAGCTTCAATACCTGTAGACTCGGCTAAGTCAGGCTTATCCTCTCCCTGTGGTCCGGCCTTGACTCTCCAGTGAAATTGTTTCACGAGATTTGCCAATGTAACTTCAGCCATCACCATTCCAAATCCTATTCCAGGGCATATCCTTCTACCCGACCCAAATGGAATGTATTTGAAATCCTGTCCTTGAAAATCTAAAGGTGCATCTAAATGTCTCTCCGGGATAAATTCTTCTGCATCTAGTCCCCATGTTGCAGTGTCCCGTTGGATTGCCCAAGCATTAATGAATACCTATATAAATGGTTCAGATTTTTAGAAATGAGTTCATGATATATTGTTAGGATCCCACATTGGAAGTTTAAATAGACCAACACTAGTATATAAAATACAAGAGCCGATTCATTCATTACCGGGAAGACCATGAAATTTAACATATAAAGATATTACCTGTGTGCCTGCTGTTATGTCATATCCCATTAATTTGACATCTTCGCTTAATAGTCGTGGAACTAATATTGGAGCTGGGGGATGCAATCGTAGTACCTCCTTGATTACAGCTTTTAAGTAATTCATCTTCTCAAGTTCTTCCTCTTTTACGTATAAGTTACATATCGAACCCGAACGAATTTCATCTTGAAGTTTTTTCATACACTCTGGATGTCTCAGAAGCTCGGTCATCGTCCATTCTAGTAGTGTAGAAGTTGTTGCCGTTGACGCAAAAAACATATCCTGAAAATAAGAAGAAGAAAACCTTCATTTTGTTCCCATCACAACAAATATATTTGGCAGTCATTTTGTTTATGTGTTTATATATATAAGAGGAATGCCCTGTCTTACAAAGATTATGAGTTTTATGTCGCTTCTATCAAACATGAATCGTGCGGTGTTCTCTCTTTGGATTGTTAGCAATATATCAACAAAATCAGATCTCTCTTTCTCGGCATCTACATCATCATGTTCTTGCAACACTCTTTCCAGAAAATCATCAAACTTATTGGTTACTTCCTCCATTTTACGATCCAATCCTCGGATTTTATCTATCCATGCTAAACTTTGAATGTATTCCCCAACTGGAAGTTCTGCCATGACGTCCCCGAATCTCTTTTTTAAGGTCTTGATATCGATTGTGCCTTCATAGCCGCTATATTTTCTTCCGAAGGCAACTTTACTCATTACATCACTTGTAAGAGTAAGAAAGATTTTGCTTAAGTTAACTGATGAAAAAGAAGAACTTGCTTCTTCTAGCTTCTCCATCATTATCTTAATCTCTTCTTCTCTCCCTTTCTCAAACGACTGAACCTTTTTGTTGTTGAGGAGATGCACAATGCATAAACTCTGCACCACAAGAAGATTCAATCACTTTCTAAAATATTCAGCTATATATAACTAGTTTATAAGATTTTGATCAATGGATTAAATATATAGAGACAACGGCCTGATTGGTAATGGTTGTAGCTTTAACATTTTGGATGTACGATTTAGGCTGTAAATATTTTGGCTATAGATTTGGTACATGACTTTTTTACGAATGAAAGCTTGATTGGTAATTACGGCTGTGATTTTTAAAATAAGAATTTAATTGAGAATATTGAAGAAAAAAAAAACAAGGAAATCAAAACCTTAAGGTTCCTCCAATGTTCACCATGGGGGGAAAAAATCACATCTCTCCCACCATTTAAAATTCTATCGACCGCCCTTGTTATCGGACGGTTTGCAAACTTAAGATCGTGTGTTTTCATGACTTCATGAGCTGTGTCGGCAGAAGAGACTATGAGGACTGGGACGCGGCCAAAATGAAGGAGCATGAGTGGGCCATAGCGAAGGCTGAGGGAGTGAAAAGAGCGGTGAGGATAGAGGCTGAGCTGATGGAAGTTTCCGATCACGGGAAGTCGCCATGGAGACGGTGGTTGGTGAAGGTTGGTAGATCGTTTAAAAAGTCTTTTAAGGAAGAGAAGGGCTGAGAAGGTAATAAAACACATAGAGATTAAAATCATTTTCATTTCTTATCTATGTGATTTGAGCATTTGGTCTTCCTCTCTAGTCTCTACTATGTATTATATAAAGAGGATCTCATCTATGTGTTAGCATATATATATATATATATATATATATACTAGATGATTACGGGCGCTATGAGCCTAGACGATTAAATTAGTAAAACCCATCTCCATTGGTTATTTTTGATAGATGTCTAAAGATTTTTTTGTAATTAATTTTCATGTTGTTTAATTATGAGTGTTTTTAGAATGTACAAACATGTCTTTAAATGTCTATTTAGAGACATTTTTGCATACTTTAAACTTTAAAGACACTTATATTTAAATAACATTAAAATTAATTATAAAAATTCTTTAGATACCCACTAAAGAATGACCAATAGAAATCGTCTAAGTAAATCAATTTAGCTTGAAACAAGAAGTATTAACAAAATATAATAATCTACAATTTGCAAGAAAATATTTTCTATTCAAATAGTACAAATAAAAGGTTTCATTTTCCGAATTATTCTTAAAACTTTTTTTTAATTCTTCTCAAGTGGCAAAATAGATTCAACAGACTCTTTTTTTGGCTTCTCTCATCTCTCTCGTCTCCTCCAACTTGAGCTCAACAAACCAGTTGGTTGATTAGTCAACTTGAGCTTTCAAGAAAAAGAATTGTCTTTATTTGTGATATACATTATCACTTCGTATTAATATACTAAAAATAATACAACAATCTCTATACTCTCGTGGCCTTTGTCTTGTGCTCTACATAATAGAATATAATATTTCAAATGCTCGCGTATCGTGAGGTTGGACTAGTGAAATAAGCCAAAAAACATAGACATCTAAAAGATACGAATTCGATTTTTGTTGGGAGAGATAATTTATTATATGTTACCTGGTTTTAAAATATAACTTGCAGATTGTTTAAGAAAAAAAAAAGGTTTAAAACATTTTGGAAAATGTGGAAGTCATATAGTTCAGTGCTCAAGCATTTTAAAGTTTTTACATTGCGCATGAGGTTCGATTTTCAAGTAATACAGTGATTTTACAGATTAATAGTACAAAGTTTTTCGAGAATCTAGAATATCGCAAATATAACCGTTCGTCGTGGTATTTTGTGTTGCGGAAATAATATGTAGATCATGGAGATATCGTAAATGCAAAGTCCTTCATTGTAGATCCGACTGTTGGGAAAAAGATACGTCGTGGAATCATTATAATCGCATATGTTGCAAGTACTTGAATATTATCATAATGAATTAGCTCAAATCATATATATGAAAATTGGTTAACTCTCTCTAGTTAGAAATTGTTTGAAGCTCCATAATCTATTTCTTTATCATTCCTAATCAATTCCCTTTAACCCGAGAATTCACCTTTAGTTATAGCTTAGTAACTTGTTAATTCTCTTCTTTGTTTACTTTCGAAACTTGTTAGTCTTTTGATTATTTCTTTTTTTTTGCCTTGTTTTATATTGTTTTATTGTTTTTTAATTTGTTAGTCAAGTTTACAAAACCAAATCATCTTATTAGCCTAAATTAAGCTTTTGCGTGTATTCTTAGTGAGTTGATCAATTGCAAATTGTGGTTCGATATTTAATTGAGTAAAGTACTACATCAATGTATCTCTATTATGATTCTCGAGAAATAATTCATTCTAGTTTTTGTTTTTTATTTATTTTTAATTACATTGTTTAACACTTATTTACAATTACTCACCTTAAAAAAATTGTTATCTTTTAAATATTTTTAAGTAAACTTAAAATAAGTATCTTATATTTGCCTTAAAATAACCGTAAATTTCACTAATAGTCATTGTCATTAATCCTATATATATAATATAGTAAATAAAAACATGAAATAAATTATAATATCATAATATTTAATTTTTGTACTTTAGTAAATCAAAAAAATAATTAAAATTCCATTGATTTATGTTTATGCATAAGTTTATACAATTTAATACAGTTAAATTTAAATAAGTTAATTTATATATCAGTTTGATATACTTTTATAACTAATTAAATTGAAATTACTTAATTAATCAGTGAAAAAATGTCAATTATCATATAAACAATAATTAATGTGATTTAAATTCTTAATTAAATTAAATAAAACAATAAATGTAATATGCGTATGTTGCATATTGATGTGACACATGTCACTCTCTCCATTGCTGATGTGGCGGAAGGATGGAGAGAGTTGACCAACTTTCATATATATGATTAGGTCAAGAGTTGACTTTGTGTTGTATTCTGTCTTTGTATATAAAGCAACACCTCCATATATTATTAAATAAGAAAACTTTTATACGGTCAAGTTTGGTGGAAAGCTTAGTAGTAAAATAATTTCTCTCAATTTTATTGACATCGTATCAGAGCTTTGAACCTAATACAAGGATTTTGGTGATCGACCTTTTGTTTCTCCTCTTATCTTTCACTATGTTCGGATCTATGTTCCTTCTTCTCTGTTTGTGACCTAAACTCTATCGACAATCATCTCTTTCAATGACGAAAAACATCAATTTGCACTAATAGTGGATCGCTCTCTCAACACAATCAAAACCAAGTGTTGAGCTAACAAGCCGCACAATCTCTCCATACGACCTTAAGCTTTGTTGATAATCCCGGAACAATGATCTCAGACCATTACTATGCAGCCCTAATTATGATGGATTGTTTGCTAGTCTTCTTTTGGCTTTGAAAATGAGAAAAAAGTTTGGATTGATAGATGGCTCCATAGTGCAGTTAGATGAGAATTCCAAAGATCATGAAGATTGGTGCACTAACACTCACTGGTGGTATCTTGGATAAAATCTTACCATTGGCGAATCATTGTTCTCAAAAATGAAGAATTTCGAAAATGCTCATTTTCCAATATTATTTTTCAAAAATACATCTTTTTTTAAGCCTTATCAAAAATATCCCTGGAAATCTGAAATTTATCCAAATACATGTGCAACCAGGACCAGTTCTAAGTTTTTTTAGACCTAAAGCATTTTTTATATGTGGTCTTTCCAAAATGTATTAACAATAAATGTATAATATTAGCTAATCTATAGAACGTGAAAAGAAAAAAAAAACACAATCAGAATAATCTGAACGTGAAAGGAAACACTATAAGAACGTGAAAGGAAAAAGAAATTGTGGTTGTTTAAACACACGACCAAGGAATCATCTATAGTCTGCATAACCATTCCAGCTACCTAAAATTATTAAATATATTGTCCATATATTTCATATTTAAACTTTGGCTAAAGTATATGCTTATGGACGGGTCGGGTCTGTGTGCAACCTTATTAAAGAAGACATAAGCTATATTTATATGTGTGTAAAATCTTACAAAATTTATATATATATATATATATATCTTACAAATACCTTATAATTACATTGTAAAACTTTATAAATACTTTGTAAAACATTTTAAAATATCTTGTAAAACTTTATAAAATACCTTATAAACCTTATAAATATTTGGATCGAATCTCCAGGTAGTAGTTACCATCCAAAAGTACCTTATAAACATTCTGAAACTTTCTAAAATTTTCAGATTTGATGAGAGGTTTATGGACACCTAACAGGGGAGTTTTTGAATGTGAGACAACAGAGGAAACAATTTAACATGCTCTCTTTGAGTGTCCGCATTCTCGACAAATCTGGAAATCGTCTTCCATTCCTATAATTCTAGGAAAGTTTTTTTAAGTTCGGAATTTTCAAATCTAAATTATCTATTTTGGAGATTCATATCCCATTTAGTCAAATCACTGTTTTGTCTGGATTTTGTGGTTCATATGGTAAGATAGGAATAAAAGGTTTTCAAAGGACTACAATCTGCACCTTTAGATATTTTAAATCATGCATTGAGCGAACAATTAATATGGAAAGAGGCACATTTGGAACCGATTGAATCATGTATTAATAAGGAAATTGTGGATAATCCAACACATCCCTTAAGATGTTGGATTGATGGTTCTTGGAAATCTTCGGATCTAACTATGGACCTAGGATGGTGGTGTTTTCAAGGAAATGATCAAACGATACTTCTTGATGCGAAGTGTCTTCAGAGGAGTCCCTCCCCCTTCACTCGGAGATGGAAGCTTTAATTTAGGATATGAAGAATATCCTTTCAAGAAGGATTGACTGTCAGGCGTTTGAAACTGATTGTACCCAGTTAGTCTCGATGGTGCAGTCTCCTGAAGAATTGACCGCTTTCTCCATTCTACTACATGAGTTTGGATTGCTCCGTGTTTTATTTCTCTTCTTTTCAATTTCTTCTTTTTCACGTTTATGTAATTCTAAGGCGGATTGTTTGGCTTGATACTCTCGTTTACTGTTTTCTGAAGTCACGTTTGTAAACTCTTTCCCTCCAGATTGGGCAACCATGGGAAGAGGCACATGTGAAACCGATTGAATTAGGTGTTAATAAGGAAATTGTGGATAATCCAACACATCCCTTAAGATGTTGGATTGATGGTTCTTGGAAATCTTCGGATCTAACTATGCGCCTAGGATAGTGGTGTTTTCAAGGAAATGATCAAACGTTACTTCTTGATGCGAAGTGTCTTCGGAGGAGTCCCTCCTCCTTCACTCGGAGATGGAAGCTTTAATTTGGGATATGAAGAATATCCTTTCAAGAAGGATTGACTGTCAGGCGTTTGAAATTGATTGTACCGAGTTAGTCTCTATGGTGCAGTCTCCTGAAGAATTGACCACTTTCTCCAATCTACTACATGAGTTTGGATTGCTCCTTGTTTTATTTCTCTTTTTTTCGATTTCTTCTATTTCACGTTTATGTAATTCTAAGGCGGATTTTTTGGCTTGATACTCTCGTTTACTGTTTTCTAAAGTCACGTTTTTAAACTCTTTTCCTCCAGATTGGAAAACCAATCATGGAGTCATTTTTTAATTAATGTGTGGTTGATAAAAAAAAAATGGGAGGAGGGGGAGTGAATTTTTTAAAAGTGGCACACGAAAAAGAGCAGTTCTCAAATATTCAAAATAATCAAACACATAAATATCCTTATTATTCTAAAACCAATAACCAAACATATAAATACTATCTATGCTAACCAAAAGTAAAAATTTAGAATTTCATATATTTTAGCATATCTATAAAATATTATTTTGTATTAAATGCATTGAATTTTTTAATTGGTAGTCCAACAAAGATCAACATTTTAATTTTAGAATTTACTGTGGTTAATTAAATTATCTTTCTGCTAAAAAATTAATATAACTTAAGTATATACTTTTTGGTAAAATATTATATATAAAACATAAAGGCATATATTTTCTCTCTCTCTCTCTCTCTCTATATATATATATATACACGTAAATATGTGTTTATTAGTAAAATATTAATTCTTATAAGTAAAATATTAATTCTTATATATAACGTAAATATGCATTTATTAGTGAAATATTAATTCTTATAATAACGTAAATATGTGTTTATTGTATAATTTTATATATAAAGCTTTTAAATTATTCACCCACAACTATACATTCCATCAATACAACTCGAAGATCAATTGACTCAAAAACTAATCCAATTTGATTTGTGTTGTGTTTAAAACATATTATTAAACCAAACACAACTAGCTATTAGGGTCAGATCTGATATTTGATCCCATGCAAACGGCTGATTATAAGAACTAGACATGCATTGCTATTTTAAAAATCTAAAGTTGTGAGAAATTATAAAAAAAAAAAAGATAGAGAAAATTCTTAGTAATAAATAAACTATTCATAAAATTAAATAGCTTCTACTTAATATGTAACTAAATTATTTGGGGAGTAAGTGAGTTATCTTAGCTATATCATTAAAAAGTAGGTCATCCTATATAATTTTCACTAAATTAAATTAAGGAACAAACTAAAATGTACACGGTAGTAAAAGCCATGCAAAATACACGAAGACATAAATTGAAGCCACCGATAAGTTTTGTTGGATTTATTCTTGCAATAATTTTGATCTAAGTGCAAATGGATCATACTCATGGCATAACACCCCATAAATATTATTGGAAATTCAAAGGGGCATCAGCTCTACGAACAAAGAGGTGATATGGTCCTTGAATCTTCCTATGGGATTGGTGTGTCCATCACCATCGCGGTAGGTGACAGTCGTAATCTTTTCACAATTAATGGCTCGCTGGAGGATATGAATTGGCATTCTTTTGGCCATCTTCAAGAACTCTTCATTTATCACCTTCTTAGTCTCTCTAAGCATTTTATTAAACTCCCTCAATGTTTCCTCCTTGCTAACGTTGTGTTCCTTCATATAGTAGTTGACGATATTTACTTCATCCCCTCTACTCATGTCATCCTGTTCACACCACAATATATTAGCACTCTTGTACCATAAGATAATACTGTATATGGGTAGCACAAAAGACGAAGAACGAAAAGAAAAGTAGGTGTACCTCGAAGCCGGTCATGTCATTCAACAGACGGGCTTTTCTAGCCAGAGCTCGAACGAATTTTGGTCTGGATTTTAACCACTTATAAGCCAGTTCCATATCTATATGTCCCAAACCAAGAAAACTTAATAATAAAGTTACAAATATTGCGATCTGAGTTTCCTTAACCTCCATGGACTCGTCAAATGTAGGAACCGTGTTTGCCCGTTCCCAGTCGCCAACAGGAACATAAGATCTCATGAGAATCTTAAACTCCTGACACAGAAGTACAAACAAAATGTTAATCTTTATATATAAGTTTTTATGATTTGACCATATCATGTTAATTTTAATTTACCTCTTCGAGTACAGCTTGGACACTGTAGGATTCTTCATCTTCTTCGGACCTCTCCATGCTTTTAGACTCTCCGAAAATGTTCATTACAAATATGAAGATGGGTTTCATATAATCTGGTAGACTGTCCACCGAATCTGGAACCAATCTGGATCAAGTAATTTTATATTAAGCATTCATCGTTAAAGAGAAGGTAGCGTGTAATTTCATATAGAATATCTAACGTAAGTATACCTTTCCATGCACTCAACAAGAATTTTGATTTCAGGAAAAAAAGCAAATCTATCGCATGTGTCATCAACAAGGGTGTAGAGCATGAAAAACTTAGTCGCTATCTCTCACGTGAAAACTGTGGCTGGATCGCAAATGAATATAAATAACATTCCACCATTCTGTCTTTGAAGTAAGGTGGGAGCTTAGATGCTAAGTCCTGCTCCTTCCACCACCTGCACATAGTTATAAACATAGTTAGAGAACCGATATATATATATATTATTTATTTCGTAAGAGCTTTCATTCCCATAACTATAAACATATATACTTGGTAAGAGTTTTCAGCTCTTGAATCCAATGCAGCTGTAAGAATCTGAAATTTAGCTTTGACAACCGCAGTAAAATCTTGTCATGATCTTCTTCTTGCTCGTAAAATAAAATATATCCCTTTGCGAATAACATTTCGATATTATGATGCTGAGGAATGTAAAGAGAATTTTTTATAAGCCTCGAGATATGAGGTGGGATAGTCCCTCCTTCAGCTAACAACTCCAAGTGCCCCGATGTAAATCTCAATGCTTCATCCAAGATTTTCTCTGTCCGTGTCTCCAAATGCGCGGCTTCGTATAAGCTTAACATTCCTTTGGCATCCCCGACAAGACATTCCTTGAACATACCATCTTTCCGTCGAAATCTCTTGAACACATCTGTTATAATAAGTGGAGTATTTTGTTAATATATACATATGGAAAGGGAAACAAAACACTAGCTAGAGATCTCCTTCTTTACCACAAGACATATTGTAACCGTATGTCCTGAAAAGCCAAAAGATGGTGGAAACTGTGTACAAATCATCTTCACCGGACATTATTTCCTCTCTCGCTTCGAAACCATGCTTTAGATTCTCATTAATCTCGTCCACGAAATGACAGGCGAGACCAAGGCTCACCAGCAAATAGATAAAAATCATTCTCTTCTTAGTCTCATTGACGCCTTGGGAAGGCATGAGCATTCCCTTCACTTTTCGCTTTAGTTCATCGATCTCTCTCGCCAACGCACTGTAAAATCAAGATCTTGATTTGCATTACCATTAAAGAGCTATATTCACTTTTGTTATAGACTCACCAACAAGTCGATGGGAACAGTGAGGAAGTGATGACCCCATTCAGAAGGTGGCAGCTTCTTAAACGTACGTAAACTTACACCGTCACCACAAGCCTTTATAGTTGTCTTCACTAAACCAACAGTTTTCACAGGCTTGCTAGAAAATGACGTCAGCGGAAAGCGGGAGAGTTTAGTTTCCGGAAAGAAGCTGTTACGTAAGGGAAGAGAGACTTGAGTTTTATATTTTTGGCCAAACACAGTTATGGCTTCCATGATCATAGCCAATGGTATATATGAATTGCTTTTCTTCCAATCTTTAGCAGCTTTGTATTGAAAAATGTAGTTGGTTCTCAAACTTTGAGAAGCACTAGCTTTTAAACTCAAAGTGTCAATTGCCATGTGTTTACTGTGTTTTTAAATAAAAAAATTGTGTTTGACCCAAAAAAAAAAAAATGGGTAAAGGGATGTGATTGTTCGAGTAATTACCCGAAATATCTAACCGTTAGGCAGTATATTCGAGGTCCCACAAGGACCAAAGATATTCTAAGGATTTCCGAGACTTGTTCTTAGCTAAAGCGAAAGGTTGTTTTGTTTGGGTTTTCAGAATTATAAATAAAAAAGGCAAATAATTTAAACGATTAAACTTATAATTAAAGACATTGGGCGTTAGGATATTTCAGAGATCAATAAACAATGGAAACATGAGACAAGGAATTCAACAATTAAGCACCGTTCTTGAACATGAACACATTTAGACTAATTCTCTTTCAAGACATTAATCACTAAATTTGACTACTCGATTACTAAACTTTCGCATGCAATTTCCTAGTCAAATTCGTATTACCAAACAAGTTCATTAAGTTCACAATGCGTCCTAACGTCAACTTTCATTGGCTAAGCATACATTGCTCAATTCACATTGATTCAGGCATTCTATCGAACACTTTTGATGCATAGAAAAAACCTATAATCTACAACAGGGTGATCAATCATATTCTAGCTTTAAGAACATGTGAATCAAAGAACCTAGAGAATGAGAATTCCTAATAACAATCAATCTTTTAATCCATTAAATCTCCTAATTAGAACCCTAAAACCCAATTAAGAGACTACTCACACATTGCAAAAGAAACAACAAAAATAAATGTAAAGGAAAACATAGTTCAATTGAATAGAAATGAAATATGGTTTAGAAATTTTCTCCAAATTGTCAAGAAGGATGAATCTCTAATCCCCAAGTGTTGCTTACAGAAAAGAAGTCTTATAAAATTGCAGAAGAAAACGTAAATAAGAAAATTAGGTCTCTGGGTTTTTATACTCATGTACAGAAAAAGGAAGATAATTCCGGTTAAAGAAAACCGGCTCGGGTCGTCAAGGTCCGGATCGATCGATCCCATGGGTGGATCGATCGATCCACAAGCTCCTGGAATGATGGTCTCGGTCGTCGAAGGCCGGATCGATCGATCCCCTCCTGGGATCGATCAATCCCGAAGTTCCTGGAAAAGATCCAACTCGTCGTGTGAAACGGGATCGATCGATCCCGAAGCTCCTGCCTTCGGTTTTCGATTCTCGCGAGTGTTTCTGCTCCAAATGAACCCGGTAATGCTCGAAAACATCCACATCCTGCTTAAACACCTAAAACCTGCAAAAGACTCGAGACGCAACCTAAAAGACGTAAAAGACGGACTACGACGCGACAAATGACTCAAAACGCGGACTAAATCAAGACTCGAAACCGTCAAAAACGCAACACATCAGGATGATATCAACATACTACACAAATTCTTTCCACTCATTTTTTTTTTAAATAATTTATAAATAATTACATTATTAAGTTATCCAAACTTTCAAATCATATTCGTTCCACCCAAACTCCACCTATAATGTTTTCCTCTTAATTAATTTTACAAGAGAAACATTTGTTGGTAGGATTTTTGAAGTTGAAAGGGAAGATGCTTCAGAGAAAACTGATTCCAAAGTAAGCAATGGTTCTAAAAAACAAATAATATATACAAAATTATATGTGATTGGAAAATGACTCGATCACTCTGTTATGCACATCTTCATACCGACTAGTAGAGACGGAAACCTATGTTATGTATTTTCTATTTTTTTTGGATTATTTTGTATATATGGTCTTAATGGGTTTTCTCGAAAAAAATGTAGTTTTCAAACTCTAATCCCATTTTCTCCTAACATTAATTTATCTATAGCATTTTACTTTTACCGCTTCGAATACTGAACTACCAACATATATAGTTTATAACTCCTCGAATTGTCGATCTTTAAAATAGGTCTGGTCAGTTCACGGCTTCTAACGGGACATCTTTGGTCGTGAATTTTGACCTCACCATTTGTGTCTCACCATTTGTTTTACAAAGAAATCTTATTGGCTGATTTGATAAAAAAAAATTTAAAAAGAAATCATAATGCGTGCATGTGCAGGCATGTTTGGTGGGTATCCTCTGGTCAGAACTGAAATATTATTTTTGTTTCTCTTTTGAAACAAATTATAACTAAATATGTCTGACAACTAAGTATTATGATTCCTGACGACATCAATTAATATTAAAATATATTTTACCATAAACAAAACTGAGTGCTAGCTCATCGGGAATTTGACTAAATCTACCACATTTTGAAATGTGGCATTCCAAATCTATCACATTTGGGAAAAGCTTTCCAAATGTACCACATTTTGTTGCTACATGCCTAAAGCCGGACGAAATTGCCCTTGATGGAGAGAGAAGTGTGTCAGAGAAAATGACAACTTGGGACAAGAGGGAGCAGTCTGCATTTAATGTTGCACGTTTACAATTGCTCTCTTAATATATTAGACAATATTAAATTAAAATCGGGGACAAGTTCATATGGAATGAGTAATATAATTAGATCGGGGACAAGTTCAGATCGAATGAGTAGTATAATTATATCGGGGACAAGTTCATAGGAATGAGTAATATAATTAGATCGGGGACAAGTTCAGATCGAATGAGTAATAGAATTAGATCGGGGATAAGTTCATATCGAATAAGTAATAGAATTAGATCAAGGACAAGTTCATATCGAATGAGTAATAAAAGTAGATCATAGACAAATTCAGATCGAATGAGTAATATAATTATATCGGGGACAAGTTCATATGGAATGAGTAATATAATTAGATTGGGGACAAGTTCATATCGAATGAGTACCAGAATTAGATCGAGGACAAGTTCAGATCAAATGAGTAATAGAATTAGATCGAGGACAAGTTCATATGAGAAGAAACCCAGATCTAGATGTGTAGCCGATTTAACGTCGTGGACCAAAACTATATAATTGATAAACTATTTTCAAACCCAAATTTAGATTTTGAATGAGTAATATCGAATGAGTGAATTAGATCGATGATAAGTTCAGATCAAATGAGTAATAAAATTAGATCGGGGACAAGTTCATATGAGAAGAAACCCAGATCTAAATGTGTAGCCGATTTAATGTCGTGGACCAAAACTATATAACTAATAAACTATTTTCAAACCCAGATTTAGATTTTGTAGGAGAGAAAAAATCATGTGAAAAGAAAAAGAAGAATAAAACTTTATAGATATATATATGTATATATATCTATAAGTGAGAGAAAGAAAAAATAATGTGAGAGAGAAAAAGAGTGAGAGAAAGAAAAGAAAAAAATTTAAAAAATAAACATAAAGAGAAAGAGAAAGAGAGGGCAAAATAGTAACTTCCCATATCAAATGTGGTAGGATTGGAAAGGAAGTTGAAAATGTGGTAGATTTGGAAAGAATTGGGGAGAATGTGGTAGATTTCTTAGTTTTTCCTAGCTCTTAGGTGCAGTTATGTATTTTAAATTAGGAAAATGAGGTTTCCTATAAATCTAATGCTATACCTAATTTACGATTCATATGGCTTTTTAAAAAAAATCGACAAGTGAATGATTTATAAATTGTATATGCTTGTAATTCAGTATTAGATCAATTAATAGTAGATCAATTAATAGTAGGAGAAGATGGGATTATAGTTTGAAAACTACACATTTTTTTTTTTTAACTATTAGCTTTCTAAGAGAATTTACCAAATTATTATTATTAATGATTTATAATTACTTGAAAATTTAAATTAAATTTCAAAAGTTCAAGTGTTTTATTTTTAAAATAAAATTAAAATCAGAAATTACAGTTATGAACAGCTTGTTGTAAAGCAGTCGGATGTTTTTGATTCTCAAGCATACACGCCATCACATATATTAACGATTCTAGTTATGAATGCATAGGAGAAATTTTTTCTTCAAAGACTTCCAACACCCACCAAAAGTACTAAAATAAAACAAATATATACCAGTAATTAAACTTGTCAATTTCTTTCGAAAAACGATTAAAATAGCAATGATAGTCAATGCTTTTATTAGTAAGAGTTACCCCTAAATTGCCTAGAGGATTATCTTTCCACAAAATATCATGTGGTATGACTGATCTTTATACAAAAGACCATCTTGTTTTGTATCTTAATTATATATATCAAATAATCCAAAGAAAATAGAAAATAGTTAGGTTTTGGTCCCTACCAGTCATTGTGAATCGAGTCATTTAAACATTCATTCTACAATATGCCAAATCAATGATACCAATGGTATAGACCATTTGACGGTAAGTAATGTTGTGTCGATAAGTTTATGTCAAAAGCTGAGGAGAAGGAACAAAGATCCGAAAAGACTGAAAATCAGAAGAGACATAGAAGTTCAAGCATGAAAAACCTAGTATTATATTTAAAACTGTGATACCATATCAAAAACTTAGTTCATGTAAAGGTTTTCTTTCTTAATAAGATAAAGAGACGTTGCCTTATATACAAAGACAAAATATGGCATAAACTCAACTCTTGACCTACTTACAATAAAAAATAGTCTAACGTTTATATGTGATGGTCCGATAAAACCTAATATGAACGGGTGGGCGTACGGTTTTTCGGTTTGATTTCGGTTTGATTTTTTTTGTTATTTGGTTTTTTGGGTTTCTAGAAAGTGAAACCATATAGAAACCGTATGTTATTCGGTTTGGTTACGGTTCGATTTTTAGAGTTTTTTGGTTTTTTCGGTTTTATAAAAATTGAAACCATATAAAAACTTTATGTATCTCGGTTCGGTTTCGTTTCGGTTTGGTTCCGGGTTTTTTTGGTTATTCTATGTTTTTACAAAAAAAATATACAATTTGATG